TGACAAGTAATGATGAAAGACAGACCACGTGGCCGAGATACAATACATATTTTACAATATTTGTTAAGCATTACCTAGCTTCTTCATGAAATTTTTCATATGTATTTTGTAGAATTCTACCACTACACTAATGCAAATGCTGCAATCTGATTGGCCAAACTATCACATGGAGATGAGTGAAAGGGGAACGAAACGAACACCAAAACGAGGGGGATGTAGGGAAGAAAGCGCCCATTCTCACCCCATATCTCTAGCCTTTTTCCATTCTGTTTTTCGCACCGGCGAACTCCTCTAACAGACTAAGAGCCTATGGGGTGATAGTTAGCCACTAACATTTAAAAATTTTCCTAGTTAAAATAAATGTTCCAAAAAGCATTGAGGTTGTCTTTTAGAACGTAATTTCTAACTGTATGGGCAACCATCAACCCATAGGCCCGTGGCATAAACTCTCTATTGTCTTTATTGAATTTATTGTTCGCCACTGACTTTTCCTGTCGCATTGTCTATATATTTGGCGGAAACAGCCACCCATACTGTATGACTGTTTGCACTCTTTATATTTTTGGCGGTGACGACCGTCCATGCATGTCCATATGCAACGGATTGCAGCGCATTTGAAATTCGGAAGACACTTGCCCTACATGTGCAGAACTGCACTTTTCCTTTTTTTAATTTAATTCATCATCACCTATTTCTCTGACTGGAAAATGATCAACAGAGAAAAAATTTCGTGTTATAATTTGAACTTCCTGTTTTGATGGCGGCAAGATTATGCAAATTGAACCTCGTGATAGAGTTTCACTCGAGCAGTAAAGTTTTGCTAAGTTGTTCTTCCCATTTCTGTCTCGTGAGCGCTGTCTGTCGGACCACCGTTTTGTTTGAACTCGTGATTAACTTGTTGAGCTTGGTAAGTAAATTTTTCAAATGTACCGAACTGAAGTCACATATAGTTTAATGGGTCTTTAATTTTGTAGCGATTACTCACGAGTGTAATGTGTATCATGGCAGAAGCCATCCTTGGATCAACAAAACATTCCAACTAAATTTTGTATTCAATTTTAAAGTGGCTAAGCGATTTGGAAAACAGAAAAATGAAATATACTTAAATGTCTTGATGTGTGGGGAATGATAAAATCGGGAATTAGCCGAGACGCCTAGACCCTTCAATATTTGAAAATTCGAGAGCACGACTTCAATGATTTTCATTCGAAAGTTTGGCCCGAGACGGTACTGTCGATTTTTGAAATGTGAACTGTGGCAAGGGTGCCCACTGTTTGGGGTGCCGAGATTATCTCAGGAGTTGGTACTAATTTCTCCGCTGTTTTTTTCTGGCAATTTTCGTTGCAATTTCAGCCTTGAGTTTTGCGTAGTGATAGTTTCATTGAGTAAACGTTCTCACTCATGAAAATCGTGATAGGCAAAACCACGTGCGCCCGTTAAGAGCCATTATGACTATTATGGGTCACCTTTTCCTCTTTCAGATTTTGACTCGTTTCGTTCGTTCTTGCCGAGTTTTTAGCTCATGTAAATGTTCATAAATGGTATTTGGTGTAAAGAAAACCGATCTCAAAACTCAAAAAAATCTAGCCCGAGACGATTATATGATCAACACGCTACATGAGATGATCGATACAGACTTACTTGTACCATCCTATGTACGGTCACAACTCACTCTTAAATTATTGAAATTTCCTTATTAATTGTAGTGTAAATGTTTTTTACGTATCCTAAAATCTACATTCTTGACCGTATATACGTAGTAATAAGATGAAGTAAAAAGCATTTTCGCATTGTTCGATTTAATTTAATTTTGTTGTGGTATTATCGGCGATGTCAAAGCGTGTAAGAGCCCCGGGGTAAGAGCAGTTTATTTATCAGTAGCTTTTACTCGCTCTTAGAATAATTATACAGCTGACATCTGATAACTTTAGCCCTTTGGTAACTCGAATGTTGTGCAAACTTGAAGCCAAATTGACTTCCGCTGGGTTTGCTTCTTACATCTACCCTTGAAACTAGAACCTTCGACAATTCGAGCCTCTGTCCCTCTCGCTCCCGCTATTAACTGTTTTGTCCATCAGCGGCATTTTCTTTATGATTAAATCCTTCGAACTGCAGTTTTTAAGGTCTTATGAGTCGCAGATCTTAAGAATCATCGACAAAAAGAACATTTACTGGAGAGAGCTAGGGCCTGTTAGCAGAGGCTATTCGTAAATGGAATGGTAACTCATTACAACAACTTGCCACAGAAGGCCAACGTAATATTCATCTGATGCTTTGGTTTATTATCTTTTTTTATTCCCTTCAAATCTTTGATGATGTGTTTTGTTGGCAAGATATCGTTCCAATTTTGTCCGAAGTTTCCGTGAGAAGCCTGATCGAAACGCTCGCCGTTTTATTCCCATTTCATTGTCCCTATTTCTAATAACTCGAACTCCCGAGAGCTCAAACCTTTTTCGATTTCTCTTGACACTTAAAGTCTTATCTATAGTTAACGGGACATGAAACTTCAAGACTGAAGAATCTGATACAGTCTGTACTACCTCTCAATCGATCGGCGAATTTCAGGACATTAATTATTTCCCGGATTCACTTTTGTTGGAGTTCTGGTGGTCGAAAACACAGTCCTCGAACAAATTTGCCAGTTACTAGTTTCTAAAGAAACCGGTTGGACTGCGTCGGCGCTGGCGGGCGAGTGAAACACATAACCATTAATGAAACTAAAGTTGTTAAATGTAAACTATTAAGCCACCGTAGCGAATATGCGACGCTGGTGTTCCGAGTCTTACAGTTTGATTTGTTTGCGGAAATTTGGTCGAATATCAATCGCTTTCTTACTATGATCTCATGAAACCAAAATTTCCATACCTGTGTCATTTTACTAATATTGTATCAAGAGAAAGCCGAGAGAAAGATGTTGCTTTTAAGGTACCATATGTGGCGTTGGTTTGAAGGGCTATAGTAATTTCGAAATGCCAGTTATTCAATTAAAATTAGAAAATAGCGTAATGGAAATACGCGCGCTGATTGGTTAAACATCGTGTTTCTATGACTCGAGACAAACACAGGACTAGCAGGAGCTGTTGACGTAACGATGGCGTGAGCAAAGAGAAAAAGGAATAGAAAACATGTTCTCTGTGTTTCTATCGAGTTTTAGTGTAAATCTATTGGTGCTCTATCACGAATGCCGTTCTCTGATTGGCTACGCTACTAACTATCTATTTTTATAGAGTGTTTCTGTCGAGGAACTATTAGTCTCCTCCGCAGCCGTTTTTTGG